CCCCAAAACCCCAAAACCCCAAAACCCCAAAACCCCAAAACCCCAAAATCCTGTTTAAGAATTGAATATCTTACGGACTTCGTAGTCAGATCTATCAGGCTTGATTTTTAGCTGGATACTTTTGTATCCTTTCTGAGCTAAGACCTCTGGAAGGACATCCTTGAATGGGTCCTCTTTGCCACCTCGTATCTGAGAAATTTTAGTCTTGAAATCTTGGAAACTTTTTATTGTTGACAACAACTTGCAGTTTCTAAAATTTTATTAGTGATTAGGGATACCTCTTGTAACGCTTGACTTGTTTCTGCGATTGCTCAAGATCAGAATCCTTCACAATGTATTCTTGTGGGTCATATCTCTGAGCAATCTCTACACTCAAAGCTTTTGGCCATGCCTTTCTTCCTTTTGGTGCTTCTTTTGTCATAGCCTGAGATTCTTTCAACTTTGGTGTTTTGAATGATGGTGAATTGAATTCAGGTATCTGACTGCTTCCACAAGAGTCTTAAGGGTGTGAAAACTAGAAAACTCACTTAATTTACCACATCTTGAAAAATTTGTGTTCATCAAATTAACCAACTGGCTGAACTTTTCCCTATTTTTGTGGTTTATCATCTTTGGGAGTGACTTTGCGTTGAATGAGCTCAAAACCTTTATCGCTCATTATTATTTTAGGCTCTGAACTATTCCTAACAAGGACTTGAATGTTTGGGACTGATTTTCTCTGGCCAACGAATGAAGGAACTGGTTTTGGGCCTTGTAGCTCCTCGAGAATATTATTTAACTCTGATTCAACTTTGAACCTTCCACCTAGTTTATGTAAACTACTATTTGTATGAGCAAGAAGATCTATGTGGTATTAAAAATGAAATATAGCATAAGAATCAAACCTTTTGGCTTCACTTTTCTGTCCTGGAGACATTTGGTAGTGATAATATTTTTCGAACAAATTCCCCATTTTGAGTGATTTAGGTCAATCTTCTTTTTCATCCTTGAACCATTTACTATTTCAATATTCAACCCTTTTTCTAACTTCTCAAGTCCTATACCTAAAAGTCACTTTTAAACACTCAAAACCCCTTAAATATATTCTAAACAATCGACTAGATTTACTTTTGCTTATTTTCTTGTCTCTTATCTTCTTCCCGTGAAATGAACTCAACTTTTCCATACTTTGATATAGTTTCTATTTTATTTATATTTTAAGGGGTTTTGGGGTTTTGGGGTTTTGGGGTTTTGGGGTTTTGGGG